TGGCCTGTTGACGCTTGTAACGGTGGAACTTGACCCTGGCGAGCTGCTGCGTTACTCGTACCCCCATAACTTGTGCACCATACTTTCAAAGCCAACATGGTAAAAATGCAAAATGTTATATTTGAAGTTAAGCTAATTTTTATTAATGACAAATGTTACTCATCATCTTCAGTAATCTTGGGTAGGTACACATACTTTAGAATTTATCTATCAAGATACTTTATACCATACTAAAGCTCTGAAAGAATCTCAAAATTGAGCTATCATTGTCGATAAGGGCAATAACTCAAAGAATAGGTCAAGCACAATAGTGAGTGCCACCGATAATCGTATATTAAGGCCCTTATCCCTATGAGCACCTTTGCCACAATAGAAAGGAATATAATGTCGAAAAGTGGCCACATAAAAATGACATACGGTTGCCGCGTAAGTTTGGATGGCGAAAAAATAGCGGGAATAAACGTCCAGCGATATGGAGATGAAAAAAATATGGCTTCAATATTTTAAAGGAGTAAAAATAATACCTAAGAAGTACGATCTTTCAGTAAAAAAAATACCTAATATCAAAGCTGTTGTTGATTCTGAATGTGATAACAAAGTACAGAACAACAGACCCTATTTTTTGGTAGCTACGATGGTAAAATCGTTTTTCCCATCAGGCGGCAAATGCGAAATCGTAATAAAACTCTCCATATCATATGTAAAGTAGCCATAATATTGAAAACTTCCAAAGTCCATCAATAAATGTGGCGCTGCGTGGGGAACGTTACGCAGTCTTATAAGTAGTTGTTAGTGATGTGACACCTCGAACAACAATGTCGATGATTGATTACTGAACCATAACTGGCCTTAACTAATTTAACTAATTAAAGGACTAACAGTGTGTTGTGAGGCGTGTAGATAAATTATTTCCTTCTTAGGTAAAGTGGCCACAAACCTTTATTAATAATAATTTATTTTTAAGTATAGGCAAATCATTAAATAATACCTACAATAGTAATTACCCCTATAATAAGATTAGATGCATCGAAACATTTTACCACTAAGATCGTTTTATACATAGCATCAAATTGTCTACTTATTAGGAAACTAAGGAAAACTGGATTAAAAGTTAGCACATATTTACTTTAAATAACAAACAATAGGTATCGATACCACATGTTAGGGTACAACTCTAGACCGAGACGCGAGGCGTCAAAACGCACGACCGCAACTATCAAAGAGAAATCTTTTCCGTGTATCAATAACGTCGATCGAGCCGTCGACTAGACACATTGCGCTGTTTATGTCGCTGCGATGTCACATTATACTCCGCCATGTCATATACATGATACGTGGCAATATGTTTAAGATATAATCTAACTATTGAATATGTATGTAGGTACCCTATTTCATTTATAAGTCCTTGAAAATATATACATTAAGTTTCTCAAAATCTAAAGGTATCGTAGTAAAATTCGAATGAGTATATGTGAACGTTACTTAAATTTTGTCTTTTCTATAAATATCTCGGAAAATTCCAATAATTTCCGTGTCTCATTTCAATAAAAAGAAACTTTAAACTATGAACAAAGTAAGAAATCTTAAAAGTTTTATTACACTTTTTTATAGTCCAATTAAGGTAGGTACCGGTACGTAAAGTCAAACAGTCGTCTAACTGCCAATACAATTTTAAAACGGACCACTTATAGGCAATACTAAGTTATCAGTAGCTCAGTGTATCACACAACAAACACCCACGCATCTAAAATTATTCATAAAATCTCAACAATGGCGTATCGTCTCCGTGTGGTTAGGGCGTGAAATTATTTTCTTGGCGTATGCAGATTAGGGGAGGGTGACTGGTGGGGTTCACGGATTAGTTCCGGTTTACTTTTTATAGGATTCCGATGATAAATGTTACCATTGGATAGGCTAACGGGTGGTGCGTGTAACGTATCCAAATAAGCTTTTCAAATAGCTTATTATCGTACCATTCATGCAATCGACGATGTGGAAATAAAATAGCAAATAGTCCTTGGGACATGAATAAAGCACTCGACGTGGATTTTTGAGTAACATGTAAAAGTTTGCATTGTTTAGTTATGTCACGTGTCACACCTAAGCTGTAGTTAGTTATAGCTAGACACTAGACCGAAGAAGGGATCGCCTAAGCTTATTGGACAAGCTTCCTTCAGTTTATTGATATTGACTACTTACCTAATCTAAGCCACTTTATTAGCTACGGCTTCCGTTCTATGCGTTGGAAATTAAGTAATGCAGACACAAAAACAACAACAGATTGACCATTAATAGGTACGTAAGAGTGAGAGCGTAGTAATGGGTACCTAAATATGGCAGAAAAGATTAGTGCTTCATTAATGACTCCACCAATTGGTTCCAAGAGTTCTGAGTTTTCTAACGTATCTAAGTAGAATCAGCCAAGCTATTTTCTATAGGTACCTACAAATCTGATATACTATACAACTATATAAAACTGGAGAGTTTGTTTGTTTGAACGCATTAATCTCGAGAACTACTGGGCCCACTTGATTAATTCTTTTTGTGTTGAATAGTCCATTTGTCAGGCTATAGGCTAAAAAAACATCACACTACGATCAATAGAAGCTGAGCATAGTGGGTGAAATCGTATGAGTATAACAACTAAGAGAATAAAGATTGATTCAGTATAGAGATTGTAGCTCAAGTCTATCTTTTGTGGCTATTGGTGTCGGCTCAACAACTAATAAATTAATGGCCTCCATGTCTCAGAACTGAATCAACCTTTATTTTTTACTTGTGTAGGTCCATCATTTTATCAAGTTACGATTGTTGACGTACGATACTAACATGTGTCGCCACCCTTCTATCACATCACACACGCTAACGGTTTAGGAGTCAGACAAAAAACGAGGAAAGTTGCCGAGCAGACGGGCGGATGGACGATTCCCGATCCCGAAATATGATTTATAGATCGGGCGTCATGGCCAATGCGCTTTCTATACGTCATGGGACATGTCACCGCCTCCACCGCGGGCAAAAGAAAATTGCCCATAGTTGCGATTCAGGATATTAATCTTAGATATTTTTGACTTGAACACATTTGCAGATATTGATGCAACATACCACTATGCGCATTCACTAAGGATTCCCATTCAATAATAGTCACTACCTACCTTTTCTTTTTGTGGACTCGGAAATCAAGGGATTCCTGCACGGCAATCGCGGAATTGCGATAATGCGAGTATACGACCCCAAGTTCGTTTTTTAATAGTTTATAGATACAAACCACTTAACCTTTGGGTACCTACGTTTACGTATCGTTTATCGACCATCAATATAAAAGTTTCCTTCAACAAAAAGAGTCTCCAGCTCCACGTCAAACTGCGTTAACAATATTTCTCAGCACGGACCGAACATTTGTATCAAATCGAACAATAATCGCTCATATTGTCAGTTACAATACAATTTGTTTGGAAACTTGACGCGTGAGAGAAATAATAACAAATGATTCGCGCCCTAACGCCGCCTGGCGTTGAAAGATCACGCCTATTGCTCTCTTGCTGATGAAAAAAGTATACAATATTACTCAGTAAGATACATTAAGTTTAGAAGTCGTTATGTAATAGATACTTGCGCACTTATTCCATCCCATACTTACTTACCTATGAAAAAATTGGAGTTCTAATACATCCTAAACTGCAATTTTTGTAGTGAATTAGTATGACTCTACCTAACACTAACATGTACCGGAATGGGCCTCTGGTAATTTCACTCGCACCGCACCACAAAACTCAAAATTGTTTCACGCCGGTTTTCTATGATGCCGTGGTATCACTCCGGTTGAACGGGCCAATTCGTGCCGAAGAACGGCACATCCATACTTTAATCCATTTAAAATTGTTAAGTACTGACTGTCTTAATGGGTTCGATTTCCGAATTAAGCAGTGTTGTGGATTTTTTCAGGAATCGTGGAGTCTGAAATAGGCAAAAGCCTAGTATCCGATATGATAAATAGCAATGTCCTCAAGAATAGAAAAGGTATAATTTATTTTGTAATTAGGTAGACATTTACATACAAGCTACCTTACGTACTAGGTTACTACTGAAAGTTATCATGTTACTATCGAGATTTTATTATGTTTTATTATAAGGTAGGTATATTATATTATATTTAAGTTTCCACCAGAAAAGGTTAGTACAGCTAGAGTATTATAATGTAACGAGGCTCCGGCTCGACGTGCAGGAGAAGGAACAGGGTGGTTTTAGTCAGTAAGAATCTGACACTCCCTCCCGCCTCACCAAGGCGGGAGCAGTCATTCGATGATTTTCCCCCTTTAAAAAAAGCTCAGACAATGTCTTAAGCTTTTACTGATGGTTAATGAAGTTCTTATCCAGTTTGTTATAACCGAATGTGAACATGTTTATTGTTATAACCGAAACAGAGCCACCTAGTTTCACCTACATTAGCAGCAAATATAAGTGTATCTCCTGAAAAATAGATAGTAGAAATTTGTTGAAGAATGTAAAACCAGGGTTCATCGTGTTATCATCAAAACAGCATAGATGTCGTAAGCATCGTTAAGCGTAAGCAACTCAGATGGTAAGGTAAGATTAGATTAAGTACAAAAAATGCTTTTTGCTAACCGAATGAGTTAATGAGTTTGACCTCAACTCAATCTTTCTTTTGTTTTTTGATAGCAATATTTTAAAACATAATTTTGCTCTATGGTAAGCTTATTATAATATTGCCAGTTTGCCAAACTTCCCAATATCTCAATCATATAAAAATAAACTACAACTAATCTTTGAATTTCACAGTATAATATAACAATGAAACATGCGTTAAAACTCAAATAAATGCACCATATTCTTACCAATCTTCAAGACTGTCCTTCCTGAAAGACTTGTATCTATGGTCAAGAATAAAATTATATGTTTAAAAATAATAGCTGTCATCATTTCGCTCGATGTTGTTGTTCGTCTTGTTTGAAGTTGTTTGTTGCTTTGACAGTCCATGTTTGACATTTACGACGATAAATCAATAAAATGAAAATGTCAATAGGATAGAACTTGCTTTTACAGAAAACGTCAAGTGTCAACATAATAGTTAACAGAGGCAGTCTATTTTTCATAATTTTAATAGTATTTAGTACTTTACGATTGAAGCACGGTTCCACTGCGACCCGTCGCTTTTATCATCAACTAGTGTTTATAAACACCTCCCAAAATGAGATGGACGGTGCATATCGAGGGTGGACCAATGCGAGTAAATCATGCAGCGGTGTGCATCGGCGATAAAATATATTCCTTTGGAGGATATTGTTCCACTGAAGAATATAAAGATTGGGAGCCAATACCAGTCCATGTTTTGGACACAAATACTATGAGGTGGGCACCAGTCAACTACAAGAGAACAGATGTCGCTCCTTTTCAAAGATACGGCCATACCACCGTCGCATATGGAGACAAGGTGAGTGAAAATAAACAAAAATCAGCTGATAGCCGATGATTTGTATGACCGAATTATTACGTGGATTTTTCATTGTTTTAAATTTTGAATTTACTCTTTAAAACTGATTTTGTGTAGTATCTTGTCTAAAATCTCATTTTCGATTTTTAAAATATTTATAACTCTTTTTATTTTTAAAAACTAATTATGGCCAAGCAATGCAGTAAATGGTTATGTTCTATTCTCACCTACATCTAATATTTTTAGTATTCATTATATTTAATTATTGTTTTATAACAATATCAATTGAAATTATATATCAGTAGAATAATAAAATAATAGAGAAATATAAACAAACTTATGCTTATTTTCATAGATTTGATAGAGATTTGTTTATTTAGTTAAAGGCCTTAATATCTGATGAAAAAATGAAAATTCTATTATGTACTACTACTACCTATCCAACAAACATTAAATTAAACACACCTACCTAAATTTTTAAACAAACTGAAAATCTATTTCCATGTTCTAAGTTCTAATCATCATTCTCAATTACCAACCAAATCAAAATATCTATCGACCCATTTTTTAAAAATATTTTTATTCAGCCAGAAACAAATACTTAACGATGGATGCATAAATTCCTACCTCTTACTTTCATAAGTAAGACAAATTCTAGTTTTACCAATCAAAAATGGTATTTTATCAACAATACCTTAAAATAAAATTAATAGGCTTAAATTGATCTCAATTGATAGTAATTGTTCATGAGTAGAGAGACTGATGACATGAGTGTCCTGCTGAAATCATTGTATCCTTGCATTTAATTTTGCATTAAAGATTACTAGATGGCAAATAAAAATATTTTATTAATTCCACAACTTCACAATAAATTACTAAGGAAAAGCAGATGTTTAAATTTTTTTCGGACTATCTGTTATATTTTTTAACTCACCGAGTACCGTCATTATAGACACAATTATAGAACAATAGGTTGTGGTCACCGGTGACCGCTTGGTGTTTGACAGTTTAATGAAAAGTAGTTATCATTCCTTCTTTACTGATGTTATAAATAGATATATGTTTTTTGTATCTTGATATTAAATTAGCTTTCTCATAGTTCAGGTACGTACAGCATTTGCATTTAATAATTATGAACTTGGAAAAAATCCATTTAAGTTCTGTATTTTATTTTATAATAATTACATAAATAACTTTAAAAATCTTCCCCAACTAAATACCACATGACTGAAACACAGGGGAAACTATAATAGGATGTAGGTATGTGAAGCATTTTTAGGATGGATAATTTTGTCTAAAATGTATTCTTGTGGGGAATATACAATTCATATAAATTAACTTGTTGAGTACCGTCATTATAGACACAATTAAAGAACAATAGGTTGCGGTCACCGGTGACCACTTGGTGTTCAACAGTTTAAATTATAACCCAGAGTAAATTTAAATAAGACTCAGGTACTTATTCATACAATACATTTCCTATGTCTATTGTTTATAAAATATTTCCCTATGATAAATAAGATATATTTATTTTTGAAGAATAGGAATACCAATGATATGTATTCATGTGATTATTATTTACGCTGTGTAAACATTAAGTGAGAATAAATTACCACATTCTTCCTAATACCAATATAGTACTTACATAACATTGCATAATTAACATAACAACAAGAAATTAACATAGCAATTTACACCTGTTTCAATGTTTGATACACAGAATTAGAGCGCTTTGTATTGTCATAAAAGTTCATCAGATACTATTTTTAATTCATGTACTGTATGTTACTATGTAAATATTAATATACAGCCATTCCAAATTACATTAATTAGTTCATTTATTTCTTCAGACAAAGATACGACAGAAGAAAATTATGATTCACATGTTTTTGTACCATCAAAAACGTAGTGTATTTAAATGTATTGTGCAACTTAGTAATAAGAACACTAGGTACCCATTTTTCTCGATCCGTCATAAGTAATTAAAGAGACATCATTATTTAACCATAATCTAAGTCAAAATCATTTATTTATTTATTTCTTTCTTTATTAGACCAGGAAGGCACATTTTAATGTCAAAACAAAATATTGAAATATTTAAAAAATGACATTCTGTCGGTCAGTCCTCTAGTGAAGCTATTTGCTCGTTCCAAAGTGTAGATTCCTATGGAGAAAAACAAGCAAAAAACTCCATAGGTTACTCTTTTTCAACCAGGGTCACAATTCTTGGTTACATTAATAATTAAAAATTAAATAAGTTTTTAAGGAGACATTATGATGACATATTGTCAATTAAGTATCAATTAAATTGTTGAACTTTTAATTCAGATTTTCTCAATATTCATGTTTTTTGTTTAAACTGAAAAGTTTTGGGCTAATAATGAACTTTGCTTTTACAGGTGTTCATGTGGGGAGGCAGAAATAATGCTGTGGCATGTGACACTCTCTCCTGTTTTGATACAAAAACATTAGAATGGACTACGCCGGCGGTCTCGGGCATGGTTCCTTATGCCAAAGATGGGCACTCAGCATGCGTTATTGGAAACAAAATGTACATTTTCGGGGGGTTTGAGTATCTTACAGACCAGTATTCCCAAGAAGTGCACTGTCTAAATCTTGACACTCTACAATGGAGTTACATTGATGCTCGAGGGACAGCCCCATCTCACCGTGACTTCCACACGGCTGTCGCTGTGGACAAGAAAATGTATATATTCGGCGGGAGAGGGGATTTAAATAGCCCTTACAACTCACAAGAGGAAATATATTGCCCGCAAGTTTTCTATTTAGACACGACTGAAGATAAATGGGTCGCAATGAATCCGGGTGGAACTTGGCCTGAAGGAAGGCGTAGTCACTCGTCTTGTGAGTATTTTTTACAAAATGGACCAAATAATAGTCATTTTATTTAAGTACATACATTAAGTACTAATGATAAAACATGTTTTCAGGGCTTTACAAAGGCTACATGTATATTTTCGGTGGCTTCAACGGTAACTCGAAGACACACTTCAATGATCTCTATCGATATTCAATTAAAGAGAATATCTGGCAATTTATTAATGTAGGTGGCTCAGTGCCTTGCAAGCGACGACGACAAGCATGCCTAATTCATAAAGACATTGTGTATCTATTTGGTGGGACAAGGTCAGTATTCAGTTACTTCATGTATAAATTAACATTAGTTATTGTATTTCTGGTGTCACATAAACAATAACAGTTTAGTACCTATTTAATTATTATGTAATTACGTTTAATATTATGAACTTCATTAGTTAAGTGGACGCGAATATGTCTACCGAATAGGAGGTCTTGAGTTCAGGGTTTATAGGATTCACTTCGAAGTTATTTCCAATTTCAATACTTGACTATAGTCTCGCGTACGCCAATACGTACCTATTGCAAAATATGATGTAGGTAGTATGATAAATTAATGTTATATTTGTACTTTTCCAGTCCCTGTCCTGGTAATAGTAATCGTATCCCAGAGAATGTGGACAACAATCCGGAGAGATTGATAGACAACAGTGACCTGCATCTACTAGATTATCAACCTTCTCTTAAGACTTTATGCATCCTCAATGTACTACAACACAACCTCGACACTTCAATACTCCCACGTGATATTATGTAAGTTAGGTTACCATTTTAGATTTAAATAGATGTTTGTAGAATTCCAATGTCAGGTTGCCTATGGAATGAATGGAATCGTAATCTCCTTCCTAAAATTATAAATGCGAATGTTTGTTTGTTTGTTTATTACTCCTTCACGCCAAAACGGCTGAAGGAATCGGGACGAGGAACAGAGGTAGATTATAGTTTGGAATAACACATACACCTTTTTTATTCCACGGGAACGGGGAATGCGGGCGAAGCCGCTAGCAGAATCTAGCAAAAGATAACTGCTGAAAGCATTACTGCTCTTTTTGACTTGTGGATAAGAAATTAATATTATTTAATACTACCTACTTCCGCGCGGTTTCACACGCTCTGCTCAGCTCCCATTGGTCGTACTGTGATGTTTCATAGTCTATAGCCATTCTCGATAAATGCGCTATCCAACACAAAAAGAATTATTCAAATCAGACTTGTAGTTACGGAGATTAGCGCGTTCAAACAAAAAAACAAACTCTTCCGCTTTATATAATAGTATAAGACTAAGGTTGACTGGAAGAGAATGCCATATGGCATTAATGTCCGCCTTATGTACCTACCATTACTTGTTTCTGTGTACATTAAAGTTTAAATAAATAAATAAGATATAAGATGAATAAGACTCAATAAAATATACCAAATATAATAATTAATTAAATTATGATTAAACAAAATTATTATTAAACTGTCAAACACCAAACGGTCACCGGTGACCGCAACCTATTGTTCTATAATTGTGTCTACAAAGACGGTACTCAACAAGTTAATTATGATCAATTGAGTAACAATAATTTTGTTTCTTTTTTGTTTCAGTGTGGATATCCGCCTGATGACTCTGCCAAACCGCATCAGCAGGCCCATCAACCAATCTGGTTGAACATACTAAGTATTATTAGTAAATGCAGCTAAATATAATTTGGAGCAGCTTCACATAAATATATTAAAAATTATTTAGTTATTAATTTATTATGGTATTACATATATACCTGTTTATATTATACTTCGTAAGTTATAGCAAAAAGAGAAATACTTTCTTAAATATATATTATTACAAATGACATGTAAATTGTTACGAATGGTGTAATGTTTTGATTGAAATAAATAAACAATATTACCAAAATGAAACAGTTACTAAAAATATAAAGTATGGTTTTATTCATCCTCCTTAACAATATGTTTTTGTCGTTCTGGCACGAAGGGAATGGCGCCTGGTTTGCTGTGTGCCCGCCGGTTGCCTTCTTTCCTCTTAGCCTTCTGTTTGATAGTTCTGATTTCGTTCTGAGCATTCAAGATATGTTTTGGTACATGTCTATGACGTGCTATACGTTTCACTTGTGGATGGTTGGCAAACTTCTCCTTTAATGAATCTGCATAGTTCAATGCTGTTCTTTCACGTGGTTTGAGCTGAAAAACCATTTTCAAATTATTGATATGGTATAGTGATCAAGTGTGTAAAACGGTAATTCTTAACTATTACACTATTGTCGAAATACTCAAAAGCCACTCAATTTGAAGTTGCGCTTAAGCATTAATAGTTCTATCACTACAAATTCTTAGTAAATTGACAGAGATGGTGCGATATTAGAGTACAACTTAAAATTGAGCCTTTCAGTATTCGGGCGTATATTCCTTATCAATATTACACTGACAATTAGCTTTCGACTATACTAATTTGGATCTCTATGCTCAATGTTTCTGAAATACCCATACAAAAGGTAATAAATTACAATCTCAATCAATAGGCAGATCAGTTTTGCTACAGAGCTTTTTCTATTCTAGCTGAAACATTACAATAATAGTCATCATCAATCAACAGCCTATATGACACCTGCTGAGTAAAGCCCCTTCTCCACACAGAGGTTTTAATTAAAAGGCATTAATAACCACGCTTGCTCAATGCAGGTTGGCAATTACAAATTTATAATTAGAAATTATAAGCCCAGGTTTCTCCACAATGTTTTCCTTCACCATTGGTCAGTGGTGTCTAAATAATCTTAGAAAGTCCATATAACTCAGAAAAAGTCACATTGGTACTTGCTGTTGGTAGATTTCGAACCGTCTTAAACCTCCAGGCCACCACAAAATCAATAATAATAGTAATAGGTATTATTGTGGTGTTTCTTAATATCTCAAGATCAACATAATGCAATGAAACTTACCACACCAAGTTTTTCTGATGCTCTAGCTTTCCACATTCTGATGTTCATTTCATCTGAACCAGACAGTATGTATTTGTTGTCTAAGGTCCATTTAACACATGTCAGTCTTTGCATTCTCTTCGTATGGTAAACATCCCTCGAGTTTCCTTTCAGACTCTCAAATATCCTCACAGTTTTATCATAGCTTCCAGCTACAAACTCTCTTCCGGTTGGTGCATAATCCACATCTATTACAGCTGATGTGTGTCCCATATGAACATTAATTGGTTGTTTTAGTTTCCTCACATCAAAGGTGTATAAACTGAAAATAAATATGTATTTATAACTTAAGTTCTTTCATTAATCACAGTAATTACACTGAATTAAAGGCACGTTGTTATACATACTTGTAATCTTCATTTGCTACTGTAAATATGAAGGCTTCCATTGGATTCCAAGACAGGGCATTTGACCTTAGCTCCATAACTACCTTCCTCAATGGTCCAGATTCACGACAATCATACAATATTACACTCCTATCACTCGCACATGATGCTAGCAAGTTTTGCTCCACCTGAAATCAAAGATACATAGGGTGTAAAACAAGTATAATGAATTTTTAACAAAATAGAAGTCATTTTTGAATATTTTGTTTCAAAATGTTACCTGATTGAAAGAGACATGATGTAAGCTGTCCACACCCCATTTGAATACCTTCACTGGCTCGTTTCTGGTATTCTCCCATAACTGACAGTGTTCACCACATGTAGCAAATATTGGCTTACTTCTATGATGAGTGACTCCAGTGACTACTGACATACTGAGCAAAGTGTTCACAGGTTCTTCATCAACAGAAGATTGAACTTCAGATTTCCATGTTTTAATAGTTTTGTCATCACCAACACTCGTAAATGTGTCTCCTTTGGGTGTGAAACATAGGGCACGCACCCAGCCTTCGTGAGCAACAAAATTCCTTGTACATTTTCTTACAGCTAAATCCCATAAACGAATTTCTCCATCAAAAGCTCCACTGGCCAAAACTGCAAGTCTGCTAGGATGTTTAGCAAGACTGGAGACACCGTCTCTATGTCCATCTAGGTTACCTATAAAGGGTTTAGCAAACACTCTCTCAAGTTTAACAGCATTCATTGCACGAACATATTCACGCGGTGCTTCCAGGGGATGCAAAGTTGGATCATAGTTCCGAGGTACTGAAATGATACAATTTTAATTAGATACTGCGTAAACAAATATTCATTAATTGAAACGGATATAAATACAGTGCTGAAATAATATCAACAATATTCTTACATTTGTGGATATCCCGCTTTGTAGCACGCAGATAGTCATCTGGATTACGACTTATAACTTTAATCTTCATTTTCGACATCTTAAATTATTTATGTTTAAACTAAAGTTAAATGTTTTGATACAAATTTATTTTACCACTGCAGAACAACTTAACCTCAACAAAATACACATGTACTCTGAGACGACTGACAGTGACATACATTGACAATTGACACTTGACAGTGACACTACCATAGAAGAAAAAAAGCTGTTACAATTAATGGCAATGACATGAATATTTGGAAACATTAAAAAAAATGTATAAAAAACATTAATCAAATTGATAATATTACAATAAAACGTTCAATAATAATTATTATACTTATAAGAACTAAGAAGCGAAAATTTTACTATCAGATGTTGCCAATAAAAAAAAAACAACTATCGGATATTGAAGTCACCGTCTTCCAATTTTTGACACTTGACAGTATTGACACTTCCAATCTAGCTACCTTTCCACCTTGTAGTTTTTCACCTTCTTTTGACGTATTTGACGGAAAAAACGCAAAAAGCAGAATTTAAAGAGTTTGTAAAGCTGTGTTCTACTGTGCGTTTAATCCGTAAGTATTTTTATTCGTATTGTTTTTAATTCTACTATCAGAAGGAAACAAATAAAGATGTCTGTTTTCTAATTCCGTGTTTATTATTTTGACTTCTTAAATCTACAAATAATAATTAGAGCTACAAGTTTAAGTTCATAGGTGTTATTTTATTACTGTTTCCACAAATATTTTGATATTTATATACCTTATGAAATTTATCAATATCTCTGTAATAAAGGTTGCTTAAATAAAAAGACCATTGTAAAAATATAATTACTACTGTATTAACTGTAATTTTGGTCAGTGGGTCGTCTTAGGGGCGGATTTATTGTAGTTGAATTATCGGATTGGTGTATTAATAATTAATTAGCAAAGTACCAAAATAAATTTTAATTAATACCTATAGAACATTTAAATATTTTAATTGGCGTCAAGAAATTATTTTCATTTATTTTCTGCACCGAAACCTTATTAAACTGTCAAACACCAAGCGGTCACCGGTGACCGCAACCTATTGTTCTTTAATTGTGTCTATAATGACGGTGCTCGACGAGTTAATAATTAAATTTAAAACAGTAAGTAGGTACCTACCTGTACAGCAAATGATTAATAAGATTTAGCAGTACCATATTAGTCAGCTACGTAATTAAATACAAATAATGCAATAAATTATGTAAAAATCTTCTTTATTTTATTATAAATAAAATCTAAAATTTTATTTTAGTTTTAATGTGCACCTCTGCCTACACCTTTGGGGATAAAAGGTGTGATGTTATGTTATGTTCAAAGAAATATCCAACTTTTGTAATTTTTTATACTGCTTATGTAATGGTCGCAGGCCGCCCTTCCTTCATAACTTGAAATCCTTGAATAACCTATGCTCTTAATTGCATTTAACTTAGAAACACCACTAATGAATAAAGAAACCAAAACAATAAAATTGCTAAAAGCCCCCATTCACCCATAAAGCATGAAATAAAAAAATAATGTTTCTGAATATTTTATGTATAATGTCTACCAAACTTTAATGTAAACGAAAACCTAAACTGTTTTGTGTAAAGTGTGAAAAATTAAATATTTTACTTTTATTTAAATTTTACCTCCAGTAACATTGGGGAGTAAAAAAAATGTGGATAAAAATAATAAAATACAAGTAAAGGATGTCCTTTACTTGTATTTTAATATTTTTATATTTAGGTATGTACCCATTTTGGTCATTATTTAAAACATTTATAGGTAACAATATAATATGATAATGATAATATAATAATATGATGATATAACACTACAAATTTAAAATTATATTAACTCGTGTTTGTGATACTTGTCGCGATTTATTTACGGCAAAATTGTTCAATATTCAAGTCAAAACAATTGACGCTAATGTAAATATATTTCTGCCGCAAGTTGCAAGGGTGAATAATGTCTCTCGCTTTGTTAAACTGATATAATATAGGCAAAGAGTATAATAAGTACTTATAAGGGAAATTATTGGTACCTATTATTAGCATCTCCCAATTATACCTATTATCCCCTATATTTATTAGACTCTTTGCCTATTATTCTTTTTCTACTGTCAGTCTGTGAAATATGTCAATCCTTTTTGCTAAAGATTAGACATAATTAGGCCTTGTATCGTAAAACGTTTCAATCAACGTTACGTAACCCAGTAGAGGGCCTACCAATATGTGGTTAAAGAAAGTAAAACATGTTTCTTCTCATCATTTCCGTTAAGGATTGCTTCCTTTACGCCTATATTGCCCCAAACATGAAACAATCACCAACCCGTCGTGCCTCCAGCAGTACGACTTGTCCTTGCTTCTTACCGTGAATTTGAAAAAGAAATCTCTCATCAAAAGTCTCACTTCAACCACCAATTTGTTTGACAAGACAAGTGTTTACTAATGCATGACTAATGTCGTAACGACATATACGCACTCAAACACTGATGTCGTCATTTTCAAAAAAATTAGGACGGAATAAGTAAACACTCTATGCAAGGACGTTGAAAACAAAGACGAACATATTGTCACTTAAAAATGATTGAAGCAAAAAAATATCAATGGATTATTCCATTGATATACACATATGTGCGTGTGGGTTACTACGTTACCCCAGGCTTGGCAATGTCCTTCATGTCAATGTGTGTACCTATATTATGCGTGTAAGTCTAAAATACTTACCTAACCAAGTGCCACAGTCGTTGTTGATAAGAAACTGTGTCCGCCTTTTTTTAACGTCCTTGCTCGTATGTATTGAAAATGTGGCGGCTGTCAAGTTTAATGCCAGAAACAGGAATTTAGTCATGCATGCATTAGGTACCTATACATTGTATTTTTGCATTTAATACTGATACTATAACTACTGACATAAAATAAGCACATCAGTAAACGAATACATTTACTCCGAACAGGCTTAAAATTGTCTCGTCGCCTCTGACTCATTTAGTTTTCTTTGTTAAAAGAGTGCAACTTGTTAGCACCGATTGCCTTGTTAGCTTGTCTATATTAGTTACAGGTTTTATTTCAACTAGCCTTTTTATTACTACTACTACAACTACCCTACAAGGATGTTAAAATTCAACGTTTTGCAACCCTACCCACATTTATAAAATATACGTTTAATTATCCTTTTTTAAATAGCTTTACTAGTTTACAATTTCTTCAGTTAATATTTCGTCAATGGTTCGTGGTTCATCTTCATTTCTTGTTGGTACTTTGGTTGGTTTCTTGTTGCTGTTCAATTTTAATTGTTGTTGTGAAAAGTTTTTCGCACCTACATAGTGTGGATCTTCTATCAACGTACCTAAAATACGAAAAGTGGACAGGAAGTTGATAATGGTTAGTTAAGACCGATTGGACTTAACTAACCATTATCTATTGTTTTGCACTGTCAATAGACAATGAAAAGTGGTAACTTAAAAAAACTCTTTCTTTCTTTCAAGTCGTCAGCAGTTTTACAAAAGCTTTTCTCTCGGCTTATAAAGAAAAAAACCTTCAATCCCTTACAAAAATTTCATAGAAGCGTTATCCCTCTTAAATCTACTTGCCGACCCCTGCAATAAGTTGTAAATTGTAATATTTGGTGTGTACCTTGCTCCACAATTTTGATTATGTGCTTTTTACTAATCGTGAGATGACGTAAAATAAATATTTTTGAAAAACCCATTAGAAATTCTTAAAAGTGGCACATTCAAACAAACTGTTCGGCTCTATTTATTTTGCTTACGTAATTATCTTTTTAGCGTGTGCCGAAGCTTAAACTGTTCAACTCGAAGCTCTAGGTACACTAGAGTAGTAGGTACCTATAACATGTCGTTAGTGCTTTCTCGTTCTTGCAGGAAGTAAGCAATATCTCTTAGACTTAAGTCTAACTAACTTTACTACATTTTACTGTCGACTATACAGGAATTGCATAATGCTGCTAACCTTCTATATTATTCATTTAACTGTGCCCTACTAAGATGAATTTATGCGATAAATTGAACATGAATTTGAATGAAACAAAAAACTTCATGGTGGCCGGTTGTAAATCAATGAAAAATCATTAAGCGTTACCCTAATGTATATAGCACATATTAATAAAGGACGTCATCTCGTCACAGTAGCAGTTAGATAAGGTCACCGGCTCGCTAGCTCGGGTTGTTCAATGGCAGTATTTTGTTCGTTGACCCGCGAGCGGCTGCGTTGGCGCACGCCCGAATGCGAACCGCGTTTGTTCTACATCTACATCCTAATTTTCAAATTGATCTCTTTTCGGTGCTATAGTGCATAAATAAATATTAGGTATCTGATTTATTTTAGTGCGGTCTTTCATTTATTTTTAAATATAATCGGCTTTTTCCTGGTACATACTCGGTAAGTACCTACCTAAATAATAAATATTATTAAAAACGTTTACAGTGATACTCAGATCGACTAGAACTTTAATAACTTCTAATCCTGATAGGTACATACCTAGACTAGTTCTAGAACAAAGATTCGGAACAGAATTTCTGTAACATTTTCCACATGCCTTACCAACTTAATAACACAATCGTTCATTTGGGTAGAAGTAGGTATTACAATACTGTTATTGTATGTCTCTTCATTAAGAAAATAAGTGTTTTAAGCAAATTCTCATTCAACATTATTTACATAACTGCTTATAGGTTCCTAACCTACACTGTTAGAAGCCCTATAAAGGCTATTTCAAATATTTCCTGCATAAACATTCCTCAAGAGTCTCTAAAAAATTGTCTGTAAATCCATAAAAAAATACTTAATGCAGCTCTGAAAAATCTAAGAACAAATAAGTATCTAAGAACGGATGCTTATCGCGATTCATTCTAGTTTCGGTGATTGTCTTCAGTCATGTCGAGCTTCGAGAAAAATATTAAGAGCAGTAGAACATTATTCGATAGTATAAAACGAACATTTGTTATCATTATTATACCTACCGATAATAAAGCGGTCGGTCGCCGGACGGCATCCGTACGCGCTAAAAATCACGTCCACCACACCAGACTCCCCCTCGTGTTATTCTAAAAAGAATAATAGGACATAGGTTCGTTGCAACTCCGAAGATTTTTATCAAAGCCCCTTGTGTTTGTGTGGCGGGAAGGTAGGTTAGTATATATGATACAATCTTTTAATTTTTATCCGAGACTTCATCACGCCAGTCACGCATTTAGCTCTCAGGGTCCCCAGCCGCAAAAAAGGTTTTGTTTTATAAAATTTTGTTTGTGCAATAAATTTTTGGGTCGGATATACTTAATCTCACTGTCTGAATAAATAAGTGGATGCCACCAACAGTTCATTCCTACTTATTTAAGCTGTTTACGAGCGGTCGCCGGCCGATCACATGAATTAGTAATACCGCAGTCATTGGCCGACTGAACAATATAAATCAATGTGAAATGTTGGGCACATTGTTTGCCTCTTACGTAATTTTAATAGGCTTTAGCTATGAAAGAATTCTGCTTCACAGTTATTCAATGCCTATATTGCTTTAACTCGTCGAGTACCGGTTTTGCAGACACAATTATAGAACAATAGGTTGCGGTCACCGGTGACCGCCTGGTGTTTGACAGTACTCGTCAAGTACCGGTTTTGTAGACACAATTATATAACAATAGGTTGCGGTCACCGGTGACCGCTTGGTGTTTGACAGTTTAATTAATTAAAATGACATGTTATGTGCTTCCTTTCATTTAATGATGTTCAAAAAAAGGTAGGTACCGGTTCAAATTTTCTTTTGTTGTAACATTCCCAAGAATTTACTTAACACCAAAATCTTCTAGGTATTATTTAAAAAGGATCGAAATGAACCGTTATCGGTCGTTACACTCAAATTAAATGTTTAAAAAATTACATTCTAAAATCTATCGTTGGAGATTATTTCAGACACTTTAGTAGATAAATAAAAAGTTTTTTCCTTAGGTCTCAAACGACAGCTATGACCAAAACAGTTACTAACCTAACCATTAAAACTGTACGGCAACATATTGTCTTGTTTACCCTTAAAATTAACCTTAAAAGATTCTCATACCTTCTGGGAATTTCCAAATTAATGTTCCAAAAGGAAATAAGGACAAAGATTTGCGTAATGTAGTATCTATGTATAATATGTGCATTTTGAAGAAAGGTCTACGATACGGTGTCTGTAACACCGTATCGTAAAACCGTTATCATAAAGCTTCCGAGTTAAATTTTATTATATCATGTACGTGTCATATTCAATAAATAAACGTATTGACTTGATTTATGCTGATTAATAAATCGTTTACTAAAGTAATAAATTTAATTCTAATCAGAACCTAATAGTGACATCGATATTTAATTTATTACCTACAAAAAAAAGGTAGACAACAGGTTTTTAGCAGATCTTTCGTCTCTATAGATTCGAAAAGCTTGTTCCGCACTTACCTAGCGGCATTTTGACTGTAATAAATAGAGACCGGATAATATGCAACATAAAAAGCTTGAAATATGCATGCAAATATGCATGAAAAATGCCTAAAATATGCACGAAAACTGACAGAATATGCAACATTAAATGAGTTTTTTTTGTTTTGTAAATATTTTTCCTTTAGATTTAAGTATTTTGCGACGTGAACACTTGTCTTGACATGTTGGTCTATTTGAAACTTTTTAGTGCACGAAATGTTTTTCTCGCAAACTCGACAATATAAAATATTTCCGTCGTAAGTAAATGTTCCAGGAAATTCACTTATCCACGAAGACAAACTTTTTTTTTTCAGGAGGCATTGTACACACACAAAAACTTTTAACTGCAGGTGAATTATCCGAGCACGAGCGTGTCAACAATCAAAGTAATAATGACATGCATAATAGGTACCTACCAAAACAAAATACGCGCGGTTGCCGAGTGCGCTACGCTCGAAAAATACCTACCTACTGTAAATTATAGCAATAATATGCATCATCACTAGATATTAGTAAAAATATGCTATTAGCCTTGAAAATCGCTTAAATATGCAAATGCATATGCAAATATGCATAGTAATAAATAACAACAACTTATTTTTAAATTAAATGACAAAATCTCTGGAGAGCTGTTGTGTTAGCTCTGTTTTCATTAGATAGAGACAGAAACAATAAACGATTTTTCTTGGAAGTGAAGAAATATAATCACTACCTAATCGCGAAACCAAACCACAGACCACTGAATATTTAGAAGTTACGAAGAAATACTACGACTGTCATTTCACAGAAATTTATTTAATGTTCTCTTTTTGTTTCTAGGTTTGCAGCCAATATGGTTCCTAATTTGAACCTGCTGCACGTAATATGTTTCGCACTGTTATTCGGTCTATGCGTGCGCACGCATGCCGAATTATTTACAGCAATAGCAGACGTGGAACATTTACTGGAGACACATAAAAGGATAATAGATGACCTAGATTTTTATATTGAAAAGGAAGAGAAAAGGCTGTCAACACTGAAGAGGTAATTAAGTTTTAGTATACGCATGCATACGATAAAGAAAGACTGCGTTGTTATACATAACACTTACCTATATATAAGTTGTATGAGTCTGAAGATGCATGCGAATTCATACTATTTATAAAACGTGAGATTCTTAACAAGTGACTGCCACTGGGAATATGTATGTGTACCTACCTTACCTATTAATCTCTGCCTCAGAGATGCACACAGAAATTTGATTATTATTTTTGTAAGTTTTAACAACCAATGCAGAGCACGTCTTCCTTTAAATTAAAATTCTTTAGTCGTATTCGGATCAAACAGGACACAATGCCCTAAGTGCCCTCACGACTTCAAAAACCGTATTTTTATTTTTACAGGCATTTGAACCTCTACAGGAAGGAACATGAGAAGGCGATGGAAGACATTCCCAATTATTTGGGGAATCCAATCAACGCATTTACTCTTATAAAAAGACTGACAACAGATCTTGATCATATCGAAGATAGTATTAAGATAGGAACAGGTAATCCTTATTTTTTATAATCTTCATTTATAACTAGTATTTTTTATAAAATTTAATGTTTTTGTCTTGGTTTTCCTTCAACATTAAGTACCGTAAAAAAGTAATCTATAAGGAAAACAGGCATCTAATTAGTGTTATGTTAATAATAGCAGATTTAGGCGGATATTACAAGAAGTTTAATCATTTGTTCCAAATAATATTAACATAATAATATATTTACTTTAGTTACTAATTAATAATTTTAACATATCTACTTAATTAAGATTACTTCATCTATTCGTTTTCCAAAGACGTTGATCAAGTAGGTTCATTAATTTGCGCCTACTTTTAAACTGTACCTAAACAGGAATGGTAACTTTTCTAAATAAGGCTTGACTTGTAATAGATTGAGTCATATCTTCACGCAAGTTCTTTTAAATTAGTTCTTTAAATTTTATTTTATTACGCGGAAATGAAAACCGAAACTAAATATTTTTACCATACCGATACGGATTAGATACGGCTTCATTGATTTGTTGTACATACCTACTGCCATCAGATATGTGCAAAACAATTTCAATAAGAGAGTTGTTATCCCACCTCAATACTTTTATAACATTGCGCTAACTTTAGACAATTATCCTGTTAATTTGACGTCAAATTAAATCAGCAATTTTGTAATGTATGTACGACAAACCCTTGACACTAGAAGTTAATTTACAAACACACACTTAAATCACATGAGAGGTATTTGTACTGATAAAATACTTGCTAACATTAACTCCAGGAAAATTATAATAAACAATAATTGTTTAAATCAACGCCACACGGCCATAGCAAAAAGATAATAGGCTATTTTAACGTGAATATGTTTTATTAAATGTAACAATAGCGTTTTCCCACAAGAGTAGAGTAAATTATAAAGCATTCGCCATCATTAACATGATTAAGGTTGAATTAAAATCCCAAAGAACTCTAATAAGAGTCTATCACAATAGCTGTTTCAATGTTTTGCCTGTGGCCTGTGATCTGAGAAATATGAAACCTTAATGAGGTGTTTATAGTTTCCCACTAATATACTTAGTCAAGCTAATATTCATTTGTTTTGTAAGTAACAATAGGGATGATGACGGGATATGAAAATTAAATATCTATTTAGTCTGTGGTAATAAAAAATATTAGACACGTATTTTTTTTTTATCGTGTTCGTATAAGAAAACAATACTTAGACAAAATGAATCAAAGTTTAGGAGTGGGAGCTACGAGTGACGTTACACGATAATTTCAAATAAAAATATCGTAGAAAGTATTTGTTTCCGTAAGGAATTAAAATAATTTACCAGACGGATATTAAAATAAAAATTAGTCATCTACCTTATTTTTAAGTTTTTTTATGGCATAAGCCGGTAAACGAGCAGACGGATCACCTGATGGTAAGGAATCGGCGTCGCCCATGGACTCCTGGAACACCAGAGGACTTTTCAATGTTTATTGGTATAATGGCTGGGAGATCGGGTGCAAAGTTATATATTATAGATTCTAATACTGCCCGCAAGAATTACAAGATCCACAAATAGTTATTCCGAATGTAGGTGTAATGTAAAAAATCTTTTCAAAACCAAGTTCTTTTATAATTGACTGTCAATATGACACACAATTTACAATTGACTTCATGTTCCACAGACGATAAACTTGTCTAGTAGATATTATAAGTACAATAGACGCAACATATCTACATAACAGATGTAAATTAGACACAAAACATCAGTACATTAGTTTGATGGTCCGTTTACATTTTCGATACTTGCTTCTAACAAGACACAACGTCTTATTTCCTCGTAACAAGACGGCTTGTTGTCTACAGATGTGAATGGAACTTTACCAAGCACGTGGCTAAGCCATCAGTCAGTATAACAAGCATTCTACATTATCACCATGTTTACATATTATTAGCTCCAGTTTTGGCAATTTAAGTTGATAATACATCATACCCAGCAATCTAAATCTTAATAATAAACAAGCTTTTCTGCCTACAGCGTTCCCAAGATTAGCTCAATAGGGTTATTGAAATTACAAAGAAATCCGTTCAGTAGTTTATGAGTTTGAATCCAATGCAGCAGAAAACTTATACAAGGAATTATACATTTATTTCAGAGTACACAAAGAATATAACAATGAACCATACGGATGTGAAGTATCCGACTTTAGAAGATTTGGCTGGAGCTGCGCAGGCACTAACTAGACTTCAAGAGACTTACCATCTCGATGTGAAAGATCTGTCAGAAGGAAAACTAAATGGAGTTATTTACAGGTATTTATCTTAAGGCATTGTCTTCATATTGCCATGTTCTAAGTTTATTTAAAAAGAGCCAAATTAGAAGAATCCTGCAATTGGCGAGCATACATGAAGAAATTAATGTAGGTGAAACGAAATAGATATGCTAGAATTGTATCATTTAGCGTTCTACTGTCTCTGCCTATCGCAATGAGAGACGGGTAAATATGCATGTAAATCATGTAATCATTAACCAGTAGATAGTTATTCTTTAACTAGCGGCGGAAACGCCACTCTATAATATTTTTTGCAACATTTTATGGGAAGTCGGAAACATAGGTACCTACTTAAGTTTGAATTTGAATTGTTTTTGGAATATATTTGTTCCATAATAATTATATAAAGTTTTGTTCCACAATTACAGTGCGAGTTAATTATACGAAAAAGAACGTTGTAGTTCAAAGAATAAGGTTTTATTTAAATAACTGAGTTATCGATGGCGCTCGTTTGCACTTGTTCGTAGTATTGTTGTAACAGAACTGTGTGTGCAATATTAGTGTTACGTAGAGGTAATTATGGCTTCAACGGTTTTCCATACATTTTGACCTCCACGCTGTATATCCTCCTTTTATTATATCTACGGGACACATTGTTTTTGAAATTCAGTTGCTATTCTTTTGACACTTTAACAAATAGTCCAAGTTTATACCTTTTTCTATCTAATTTAGTATCTCCCCACACTAGCGCTTTCAGTTTTACCTTGATTCGTGCTAAAAACTGATTCACCATTGGTTAAAGGCCTTGAGTTAAGTAGGTGTATGTCACCATTAAACACAAGGTAACGTTTAAATACAAGTGCAAATAAGTCCAAAAGTATGCCTAGCACTTATAACAAAATCAAACTATACATTATTATATTTGTACCGTGATTATGAACTAGGTAAATAACATTTTGCACATTACGGGTCAATCGACACAGATTAGATAGCAAATGAAGTATCCATACTTCCTTCCCGATATAAAAATACATAGTTTATGATGTATTGTACTGCTTCAAGACAATATCTATATTAATTACCTTTTTATCTTTTAATAAACTGTGTCATTTGCCAATTATCTGTCTGTCATCATGTTTTTTTTTGATATTTTTTAATAAAATATCACCTATGTTACCAAGCGAAAGTGATTACTCCATTTTTTACTTGTGAGACATAAAATTAGCAATGTTGCGTTAACTCGTCACTGTTTACAGACCTGTAAATTGTAGTATGGAGATAACAAATTATCGTGTACTTAGGATCTAATAGTGTTAAATGGGATCTTTCAAAAAACTGTTTCCAAATTATAAGGTGAATTCGTAATTTGTCTGTTGGTTTGATTTGTTACGAAAACAGTTATAACTATTTTTGTCCAGAAACTAGTGCTTCTTCAACCCCAGCGTTACCTATTGTAATCGGACAATCCTTACACGATATACTTTTTAGCTTCTATCAAATTCATGCATCTTGTCCTATGGTCATAAATAATTTATTGATCTAAAGTACTATGTTTCCTATGCAGAGGGCGTCCACAGAGCACAGTTAGGTCTTCTGTCGCAATCGGTCTTGATGCTTGATTATATCAAATAGGTACCATATAATTTTAATTTTATTTGTATTCCAGTACTCCTATGAGTGCAGGCGACTGTTACGAGTTGGGGCGTGCGCTGTACAACGAGAAGGACTATAAAAACGCACGCGCTTGGATGCACGAAGCGCTACGAAAGTACAAAGAGGAAAACACTACCTACTCCTTCAAAGAATCTGATATATTGGAATACATCGGCTTCTCTTATTACTTACTTGGTTAGTATAGTTTATTTATTGTGTACTTTATTTCATTTGAATGCTTAATGCACACAACATGTACGCTATCAAAAGTGGCGTAGCGTTCCTTGGCGGAGCCCCAGTATAAAAAAAATTTTAGGAGCTCTTATGTAGGGTTAAAATTTCTGACAAAAAAAAGAAAAATGCCTAAAATAAAAAAAGAAATATTTTGAAATGCACTTTATTTTTTTTAATTATGAGTAGGTTTACAAATTATTTAAAAATGCTCAATTTTCAAAAAGTTCTGCCAAAGTTCCTCCTTTTACCCCTTCGAAGAACTAAACTAAAAACTAAAGGGCGTAATGTTATGTAACGTTGAAACATTGTAACATAATGTCGTTATATTACAGGTGACACACGAAACGCTTTGGAGTGGACTCATAAGCTATTAGCAGTTGACCCGGCACACCCTCGGGCTAAAGGCAATATACCACACTACCAGAAGAGCATTGCTGAAGAAGAACTTAGACTTAGGAAGGAACGGCGTGGGGTATGTTTTCTCGATACACATTTAGAAAAAATGATTAACAAAATTATTTTCTCTTTTACCCAATCATTAGAATCCAAGAATTTTATTCACCTTTTGGGAATTAACTCGTCGAGTACCGTCATTATAGACAAAATTATAGAACAATAGGTTGCGGTCACCGGTGACCGCTTGGTGTTTGACAGTTTAATTAGTAATTTGAGGATTGTTAGGGAATTAGAGATTAAGGAAGAAGGGTGGAGGGTAATTGGGACCCCGGTAACCTCACACGATGAAACACAACGCAAGCGTTGTTTCACGTCGGTTTCATGCCGAAGCATCCACCAGCCACACTTCCTTTCACCATTTATTCGCACTTCCACCATTACTTTAAAATATCCAATTTATTGTCTAATCCCAGGTGACTCCTATCCCAGGTCTAAAGGTTTCTTGTTTGTAATAAGTTATAAGTATTTATTTTGATAAATAAGTCTAGCCTTGTGTGTCATCCACAAATAGTTTCTACCAGTTTTATAATAACGGCAACTTGTACAAAAAATCAATACCACATTTAATGTTGTAACAAAGTATGTTTACTGTTTTTTATGCTCGAAGTTAATAACTCTTATAAGTTTTTTATTTACGTGCACACATAATACTTGAATATCTGGTGTAAAGGTCAATAACTTATTAGGCATCTTATGAATTATTCATACAGGAAAATATCGTCGTACATAAATAATATTTCTTATCACTTTTATTTTTTATCTGCAATTTTTTACATATTTACTAAAAGTTAATAAGTGGGTGTTACATTGTACAGTGACATTGAGTGCGGTAACGTGCACCTCTGCCTACCTCTTCAGGGATAAATGACGTCATAGTATGTTATGCTTTTCACTCTTCTGTCCGTATAATTTTCATAAATTCTGGGACACAATTTTTCTTTCTATATTTACTCACCGAATCTTGCCTACGTATGAATTCCAAATATTTAGCATGCGAAGATAATATTAATATGTAAATTAGTATTTGTTAACGTAATCAAGTTATTTTTTTTTCATCAGGAAACCGGTGCCGAGCCGGAACAGGAGAAACCAGCCCCTTCAACGGAATATGGACAAAAAGAGAGGAAAGCATATGAAGCTCTGTGCCGCGGTGAAGTCGACGTGCCACTCGAGATCTCTAAAAAGTAAAATATTTTTTTCAATAAATAAGATCTTTTACAAGACAAACTTCTGGAAACAATTTTTATAAGTTTTTATAATATTTATAAATTATAATATTAATATTTTTAATTTATAATAATATATAATATATATATAATATTTATAATTTATAAAATAAGTGCTTATAAGTGTAACGTTTAAAAAATATTTAGACGGGCGATCAACTGTATCACCATCACCACACTCTTGGGTTCGATACCCGCACGGAGCAATTCGTTCAAACTCAAAACTCAAAAGCATTTATTTCAATTAAACCATAATTTGGTACTTTTGAAACGTCAACAAATATGAAATAAATAATAGTCTGTCAGTCTGTCCGTCAGTGAAGCTAGGCGCTCGTTCCAAAATGTCGATTCGAGTGGAGAAGAACGAGCAAGAAACTCCATTTGTCGTTGTGTGTTGTTTCGGTTCTGGGTGTCATGTGTATGTGATATTGTATGTTTGTAAACGCACCCACGATGCAGGAGAAAATCCTAGTGTGGGGCAACGTATTTTTTTTTTAATAATAATCTCAATATAAAAACATATCTACCTATTTCTTAACAGTGATATAAGGTTCACTGTACTTATAAATGAGCAAAAGTATTTCTCGTGAACTATTATCATACCTAATAACATTCGAAACTGGATGGCCAAGTTTTAAGATTATGCAAATCACGTCTTATTAGTATTTTACTGCTTTTTTTAAAGAAAAAAAAACACATTATAGTAGTCGAGTAAAGTTATAAAATTATCATAAAAAGTAATTCAATTTAATATTTATAATGATGTAACTGTTCGGCGGGTGAGTAATCCTTCCCACGCGTACAGTTAGTTACAGGTTATTTTTTATAAATTTCAACCTTCATGTTTTTGTTTTATAGTCGAAAATCTATTAAATTCTGTGGTAACTTGATGCGCTATTATGTAAAACTGTTTTACTGACTCATTGGCCGAATGGTCGCAATGCGACTGCCAGACAAGGGATCTCGCGTTTGATTCCCGGATCGGGCAAACTATTACTAGGTTTTTAAAAAACATCTCAGTTGTGGCACGGTGTCTGGAATTGTGCCCGGTATATGGCAATAGGCTCACCGTCTATTACATGGGATTCATAACATGAATAGTGAAAAGAGTATGTTACATTGTCCAGTGGCATTATGTGCCGTAATCCGCCTACTCCTTCGGGGATAAAAGGCTTGTGTTATATAAAACTGTTTTAAGAATCTTTTAAACACATTTCTTTGTGAGCTTTCCAAGGAAAAGTTCATTTGGGATATGATAATCGTAGTTTCATTACCGTTAATAGGGCTGTGCTTAAAGTTATAAATAGTTATTGGATTCATTTAACTTATTTTAATTTCTCCTAAACAGATTAACATGCCGTTACCTGACCGAGAACCACCCGTTCCTACGTCTGGCGCCCATCAAGATGGAAATGATGTACCTGAACCCTGATATTGTGATATTCCATGATGTCATCAGCGATGGGGAGATTGAAACTGTTAAACGAATGGCTAGGCCTAGGGTGAGTACCTGTACGGATAAATTTAAATGAATATTTACACTTATTGATGTGTCAGTTAAAAGAGTATCGAATAGAGTTTCTTGCTCGTTCTTCTCCATTCGAATCTACATTTTGGAACAAACACCTAGCTTCACAGAAGGACAGGCTAATAATTCATTTTGTATTTGTTGACGTTTCAAAAGTACCAAATTATGGATTAATTGAAATAAACGTTTTTTGACTTTGACCTTGTTTTTAAATTGTAATAATGAAAAATTCGATTGCATCTTTTCAAAATCTGTTTCTAAAAACTGTCTATAGTTAGTTTATTTTTTAATATGTGTATACCTTGGTCATTGTGCTGAATTCCATAATAAAGATTTCTAAATTGAATTTAATTGAGGACTTATTTAGTCCTCAATTAGCACAACTAGCTGTATAAGTGTGTATCTGTCAGTATACCACAATAAAAGTGTTGCTTGCTTTGAACGTCAAGAGTAAGTCGTATTATGTAGATAAAAGAAAACAAATCGCTTTATAAAAATATGATTACCTTTGTCAATTATTGCACCATTGGTGCGGTGGCTGGGCAACCGGCTGCCGCGCAACGTATACCAGGTTCGATTCCCACACGAAGCAATTCTTTGAGAAATACACAAAATGTTGTTTCGTTTAAAAAAAAATGTAAGATTCGATATATACAATTCTGGGATGAATCTTAATCCCATCCGAATAGTTGTAAAAGAATACATATTTTTATATTACACAAATATACATTAGTCATATGAATCAGTAGAATGTCATTGTCCTCAAAGCTTCCTAACCTTGACTTTCATTGCGTGCAATAAAATAAAACGCTTGATTTGTTAATGCCTTTATTGTGTTCACTTCTCATAAAAGTTGTTATTGGCAAATGTGCAAACGTGTTTTAGTAGAATTATTTTGTACTAGCTGACTTTTGGCAGAATTTTGGTTCTTTTAATATAGGTATAACATCACGCCTTTTATCCCCGAAGGGTTAGGCACTTTTCACTATTTATGTTATGAGTCCCATGTAATAGGGGGTGAGCCTATTGCCATATACCGGGCACAATTCCAGACTCCGTGTTTCTACTGTGAATTTTATGTAAAACCCAGTAATACTTTGCCCGACCCGGGAATCGAACCCGAGACCCCTTGACCGGCAGTCGCACTTGCGACCACTCGGCCAACAAGGCAATTGATAAGTCTCGCTTAGGTATAGTTCTGTCACTACAAATTCTTTGTAAAATTACAGAGAAGGCACGATATTTAATTACTACCTACTTAAAATTGAGTAGCCTTTCAGTAATTGGGCGTAGGTCTCTAAGGTCATAAATAATTAACAAAATATTTTATCCAGTTCAAACGAGCAGTTGTCCACGATCCGAAGACCGGCGAGTTGGTACCAGCTCACTACCGTATAAGCAAGTCGGCCTGGCTGCGCGACGGGGAGGCAGAGACCATCGCTCGTATTACTAGGCGAGTCTCACATATGACCGGCCTTAGCATGGACTCCGCTGAAGAACTGCAAGTTGTCAATTATGGAATCGGAGGCCATTATGAACCTCATTACGATTTTGCTAGGGTATGTGGGTTTTATTCAGAATTTTTAATGAAAAAGTGGTTACGTTTTCCGATATGATAATCTTCTGAGTCTCACTATGTGTTTCAAAGAATTTAATAAATAAGTATTATTGTCAGTATATTTATTACGCTTTGTAATAGAAATTACTTAACGAGTACATGGTGTCGGAAATAACTGTTTCTTGTATCTACATTATTTTTTTTATTTTCAGAAACGGGAAAATGCTTTCGCTAAACAAGGAGGCAACAGGATAGCTACAGTTCTCTTCTATGTTAGTATTGAAATAAAAGGCCATCATCACTTACATATAAATATTTATTTACTGAAAAACATTACATTGTACACGATAAAAATCTGTAATTTGACTTTGTTATAAAATAATAATATTGAAAATCTATAAAAGAGTTCACAGATTTATATGGACCTTATGGTTTCATCAGATTTTGGACCTTTTGACGTGTTTGATTGATGATACAGTCGACCCTCGTTAATCCTCTAATAACTCTTAAAATATTTCGATTTACCAAATGTTCGCAATCTCCAATGATCCGTTGAATTAGCCTCAAAATGTCGGTGCTCTGCAAGTTCTGAGTTCTTTCTGTCTCTTTCTCTCTGCAACTTCGAATTTTCGAGTCCTTTGGTTACGTAGAATTGATAGTTTCGAATTACCAAGTGTATAAAATATTTTGATTTAGTTTGAAATATAAAAAGGTTGTCAAGGGACCTCATGATAACTTCAAATTATCCAGTGGATCGAATTATTGAATGCTTGAATTAACGAGATTCGACTGTATTTGTAACTTCATTGTGACATATTAATATATATATATAATAACAAGTACACAATATTTGTTCTATACAGATGTCAGACGTGGCGCAAGGCGGTGCCACGGTGTTCACGGAGCTGGGTCTGAGCGTGTTCCCAGTGAAGCGCGCCGCCGCGTTCTGGATGAACCTGCATCCCTCCGGCGAAGGAGACTTCGCCACCAGACACGCGGCCTGCCCCGTGCTGCAGGGCTCCAAGTGGGGTATGTAGTACTGTGGAAAAAGCCTTTTTACGTGATAATAAGCTCTATTCGTATGTCGTCGTGGTCGAGAGGCTTAAGACGCCCTCTCGCTTCTCGTACATGAGAGTCCACGCTCTCTTGCATGAGAAGCGGGCGGGCGTGGAACCCACGTTCGAAACCTACCAACGACAAATACCATTGTGACTTATTCCGAGTTTTATGTACATTCTAAGATTATTTAGATACCACTGACAAGCGGTGAAGGAAAACATCATGAGAAAACCTGGGCTTATAATTTCTAATTATAAGTTTGCAATCGCCAACCCGCATTAAGCAAGGGTGGTGACTCAAACCTTCTCCGTGTGAGAAGAGGCCTTTGGTCAGTAATGGGCACTTATAGGCTTTGATGAAGCTCTAATCGTAATAAAGTAAGGTTCATCAGAGAATATCTTTTGATTTCAAAAGTTCAACAGTTTTTTGATGGTTTATTTTTGTTATAAACTAAATGGTTTGTGGGTAATATACTTTCTAAAATGCTTAAAACCACTACTTATAATTATACTAGCAAAATACTAAGCTCTTTGTCGTTCCACTATCGAGCGAGTGTATTAATCTGGGTGTTCTCCGTATATACGACATTTTAGATTCTGGAAAAAAATATGTTAGTAATTTCTGATATTACAAAATGACTGCAAACTCATATGTTCTGTATGCCATTCTCACTTAACTATTCGACAAAGGCACTCGACTAGTTTCAAGATATACCGGGGGCCCGTAGTCGTATAGCGGGCTGCATGAATAAGCCGTACAACCTAATTAATGTTAACCTAATGAACAAAATGACTTATAAACTTCTTAAACTTCGCAGTATGCAATAAATGGCTGCACCAAGGCGGGCAGGAGTTGCTGAAGCCGTGCAACTTGGAGTACCAGAAGGAGGGCATCATCCGCCAAATCCCGCGACCAGTGCCCAAGACATACAGGTAGAATTACAAGTCCATATTACTGAATAAGCTGTTCAAACAGAACTGATTAGTGCAAATATAGTAATCTGATTAGTGAGCAATTTGTTTATTTGATAACTGTATACATTTAGTATACATTCCTAATCAGTCAAAAGTTGTTCTCAAATAACAAATACTATTTAATCTATAATCATTAGAGATGTACTGAAAAGGCTTTGGCCGACTGGCCCGCTAATAGATGATAAAATAGCTGAATATTTCCATAAAATATGATACTAGTTGCTAACGTTCATTGCATATGTGATCCAACAAGGACGTGCATGCATTTTATTGGAACCCATTACCGAAAATTAAAAAAAATATTTTGAAATAAGAAGTGATTTGGCAACTCATTCTTTTTTAAATTTATTAACATAGAACTTCATTTTTACTTTTTAGTTATCAAATGTAACACTATGCCTTTTTAGCAAATTGAATTAAAGATAAGTAGTAAATAATTAAGTATTTAGCGTATGTAATAGTGTTGTGTTAAAACTAATTAATTAATCTTGCCCAATGATCTAATGATAGACGTCTAATATCTCAAATACATAGAGGCTTCAGTGTTGCCGTTTTTCTGTAAAATTAATGTAATTATTTATTACCTATGTCGTTATACAAATAAGGTAACATAGTTAAATAGTACATATTAATATGTATACATATTTAGATCAATTTGTTGAGTTATACTATAATATATATTTTTATTAAAATGTTATAGATTATACTATTATTTTAAGTACATTCATATATTACGTTTATAAAACCAGTCATTTTATTAAGTACAATAAGTAACAAATGATACAAATTAAGTTTAATCTCAACAAATGCATTTATACAAACATTTAAAACATATCTAATGTATGACAATATTGCTTTATTAGACGATTAATTAATAATATAGATATAATTAATGCTTAAAATTAAGTTGGCTGTAATTAAGAAATATGCTTTGAATCAATTTTATGTAAACTGACATTGTTTTTTACATATTATGTATTTGATTATACAATTTTCAATTGATGCGATTGTGGTTTTATTGAAGTTAAAATTGTTATAAATATCGTACCGTATCTCAAACTGTAAAACACTTAAGGATAAAAATATTTATGCTATACTAGCTGTTGCCTGCGACTTCATCGGAGCATGATTCCTGTTTTATCGGATGCCTATCACCTAAGTCAGCACATATACCAAATTCATCAAAATCCGTTCAGTAGTTTCAGCTTGGTTGATGGAAAAACAAACAAACATTCACATTTATAATATGAATGTGATTTATTTTTACAAAAATACAGTGAATCATCAAATCAGTGAATTAATTGATCGAAATAATTATTATCTTTACCCAGAATAGGTACGTCGCAATACTAATTATGTAAATAGTAAATAATTTTAAACTTTAAAGTAACATACACTATCTCACGATGGGATCCCATCGCCATCAGCCATCTTCAAAAATCGTTGTGAGGAGAGCAATTTAAGACAACAAAAACGTTACATATAGAATTAGACGTATACTGTACATAACATTGCTGTTGTTTATACATTACCCTAACTCTTCTGGCTTCTGGCTCTGGATCATGGGTATCTTCTGAATTGTAGCTCTTCAGTGGTAGACGAAGGACGGTGACGCTAGTTAGAGTATTTCAGAACAAACAAAGTAAGTACATGCATGGTGGACTTTAGCATTGCACACTACTGTGTTTGCTATGAAACACTCTTCTTGTCTTGACAAACTTCGATCTTGGAGTTTCTTGAGCCTTGGCCATAGTTGTATGATAAAAATGATGTACATCTACCTCTATTATTATATTTCCGGCTTACTCACGCAACTGTTTGACGAGGTACTCAACTACTTTCAAGCCATGCTAGAGGCTCATATTGATGATCGCGCTGCTACTGGCTACTCGAGTATTGCGGTGCGGACCTAATGCGCCCTCTGCCGTGATTCGTGAATATGAGCCTCTAGCATGGCTCTAGAATGTCTCACGAAAGTTTTAGTATAAACAATAATATTATACAAGTTATTCTAAGAGCTGGTTTCATAATATCTGATTCAATTTCTGTTAGTAAAATTAATTGACGGATAATACGACGCATTTCGCATACAGTTCTATTTAAGTTAAGCTAACAACAACTTAATCAGACATTGTCAATCAGGTAGGTAATGTTTCATTTCCATTGCAATGATTTTAATAGCGGCAATAAATGGCCATTGACCCAAAAACATGTCGTACGTAACTACCCATTATGAACCTATTAAATATTAACAAAATCAAAATGTTTAAATAATGAAACTAAACCTGGACCTAAAAATGGTTCTTATCAAGTACTGAATGCAAGATTTTACCTTCCGAATTAAATTTTAATGAATCTATTCTTGATTCCTACATACGTCACATGAGTTCCAGTCTGCCCGGAGTTAACCTTCGGCGTTAGATTTCATTGTCACTGTATAATGGCTCTTTGTTTTAAGGTCAATAGTATAGTGATTGGAAAATGGGTTCTCATGTTGCTTCTGCGGATTCCACATTCACGGAAACGTTAATGTTTCCTCCTGAGCTTCCAATGCGTTGCAATTGATTGTTACTTATGGAACTTCGTTATATTGGCAGGTATTGTTCTTAGAGGAAACTATTTTGAGGCTGAAATACACCAAAAAATTAATAAATGAATGGTTATACAAAAATCTTAATCCATTTAAGTGACTTCTGAAAGTGAGTTTTAGACAACCGCTAACCCTATTTAATTTTTCTTCAACAAAATCTCTATAGGAATCCCATGTATACAGACACATGGGATTCCTATAGAATTTCTAAAATCTAGTACACTTTTTTATATATATAATATACCTCCTCATCCGCCTCACCCAGGTGCATGAAGTCATTCGATGATTTGCAGTTTAAAAAAAAATCTAATATACTTACTTGCTCAATATAGATAGTTGTATACAAGAATCAAAGTTATGATACGGCTATATTCCGATCCAATGATGATGATTGAAAACAACAAGCGAAAGCAAAAACAACACTAGTCATGACTCTACTTACACACATTATAAATATTCTAAAGTGATACCTATGATGTGACACTTACGCCCGAATACTGAAAGACTACTCAATTTAAAATTGTACTTAAATATCGTCCATCTCTAACATTTTACAAAGAATTTGTAGTGACAGAACTATAAATGCGACTTCAAATTGAGTACCTTTTCAGTATTCGGTCGTAAGACTTGACTATACATAGTATTATCACAATGTGTTATACTGATTCTAGTAAAATTAAATACGTAGTATGTGTATGCAAAGCTTCAATACAAAGTTAGACCCTATCTACGATTAATTTCATTGACTAACTCCAAATTGGGGGACTAAAACCCAAGCCTTATGAAGGTGCCATTCGGAAAGCATAGTGCCTTGTATGATTGCTCTATGCCTTCATTGATGATCATACTTGAACAATTTTAACTACTTATCTTTCCCAACTATGGGTATTATCAAACAGCTGACTCTAAATAATTGTTTCAAGTTTCGTCGTAAGTTCGACCAGTCGACTCGGGATTGGGATGAAATTCTGTTACTGTAATGACTGAACTATCACCACAAATCTTAACTATTGAAATATGTTCTTCCACATCATATATTGATGATTATAGTGAATGTCGTTAAAATCTAAACTTACCTGTCCAATCAACAGAGTGGTAATTACATATTTCAGTTACCTACCATTATTTGCCAATAGAATTGGCTCTTCCATTTCCTATCTTGTAAAAGATACCCATCTTCTTTAAACCTACACCATTAAACATGATTAACTATTTGAAATCCATAAAGCATTGCGATAAAAATCACGAAAACAGTATGGAAAACACCTAGACCACATAAAATATCACTCACCCTCACCGAAGACTATACATTGATTGCATAGTAATCCTTCTTCACTGATTACTAAAGGTAAATTAAAACTTTCAACAATATTTATTGGGAGATAAGTCTTGAAGAATATTTTAAGCTGTTTTATTGATCGAATTGATCAATTAATATGAGGATACTTGACACTACACTTTCGAATCAGCCAAGTGCTGGCAACAAACTGATGGCTAGTGGAGTCGGTCGTCGATGGCTAACGATGAAACCGGAGCCGTGGACTGTAAACATCCAGTGACTGGAATCCTCACAGGCTGTCGACGCGTCGCGCCGCCGACGCTCGCGCGCGAACCTCCATAACATTACTGATATGACACATTAAGATAACTGCCTGGCCACCGGGAAGATCTGCACTTGATAGGCTTATGACCTATGAATTTGTATTACATATTTTCTTTAATATTGTTGCTTTGCCAGTCAGTTTGCATTGTCAGTCTGATCCATATTCCCATTCCAGGATACCCTGTAACAAATTAATTATTATGTTTTTCCGTTTACTCACGTAATTATTTGATGAAGAACTCGACTAAAACTTTCAATAGTAGTCAGTCGCCGCGTCGTGTGTCGCGGAATGCTGCTCATGAATATGAGCCTCTAGCATGGCTTGAAACTAGTCGAGTTCCTCAACAAATAGTTACGTGAGTTAGCTGAAAAACATAATAATTAATTAAGTGTATCTAACGAAAGTTAAAATATAAATATACCCTGTGATATTTTCCTCGTTTCAATAAAAAATGTATTGATATTTTTGATATCTTATACAGGTGATTTGTTATTAGAGCACAATCTCGTATGGGGTAAATATCTTACTTTATTCGTTTATTTACCTTTATGTTTATTATTTTATTCACTAGTTATGATTATCAAATACACAATAATAATAGTATTTTAAACACAGTGATTTCAAATTCATAGATATATAGAGTATCTTTTTTCAAGTTTGACCCAGAACTATTCTTCTATAACATAAAAATTTACTATGACACTTGTGCACTTTTTGCAAAAAATATCTACATTTCCGAAGCTTTCGTATGAGTAGTAGTACCTAGTATAGCAGACTGTACGACACGCTGTGACCGCGCACGCTGCTCATGAGGAAGAGCCCCTCTGTGGCTCGAAACTGGTAGGGCTCTTCTCAGTATATTTACAAGGGTAACCTGCGATTTTTAGTAAGTTAATATAACTTCAATATACCTGGACTAATGCTGAAGATATTAGACTAACATCAACTTGGTCCATCCAAGGTAGTAAAATAATGACGTTCAATTTGCAAGTTTACTTTAATGAAATCCCACAACTTTTACCCGAATGCTTAGCAGTTTCCTTAAGTAGTTGTGTTTAAACTTAAATTAAGGGATATCATTCATGAATTTTGGACGTCATCCCGACAATTGAACTTCAGTCTACTACTAGAACTACTAAAGGAGTAGGTGCCTACTAAAAAAAGTAATTGTGGGGGAAACTCCAGTAAAATAAAGTTCTTGCCAATTGTGTCATTACATACCTAAATGACCTACTATTTGGAAAAAAAGAAAAATAATATTTTGGTCGACCTTTTCACTAACCACCCCTTAATCATCTTTTAAGTAATAGTTACTTAGCGCGACGTAGCACCTAAAGTAACCCTATACTTGTAGGTACTCTTAGGTGTCTCTTATAGTTTGGTCAAAGCTAAAATGATTTTGAGTGTCACCTATATTAGCTTAGGTGAAAACGGGCATAAAAATCTCAAATAATCTCCCATATTTTAAATTTTAAACTAGCTTTTGCTAGCGGCTTCGCCCGCTTTTCGGGGGTAAAAAGTTATATATTACTTCTAACCATAGTCTACCTCTGTTCCAAATTTCATCCCAGTCCATTCAGCCGTTTTGATGTGACTGAGTAAAAAACATACTCACATATTTTCACATTATAATATCGGTTCAAGCTAATTTCAACCATCGGCACTACAGTTACAGCGAAAAGTCCACTGCGAGCAACCTAATTTCGATATTTAATTCGACAAACTT